TAAAAATGATGTAAAAGGCTCTAAATACTTTTGAAAAGATAGATATATTTGGTGTCCCTATTTAACTCTTATCTAATACAAATAATCAAAGATACTAAAGTAAAAGTTGGAGGGGTATTAACAATTCTGTTAAGCGATTTAGGTTTAGTATACCCCTTATATGTGATTGTTCTATGGAGTGACAACAAAATAGCACCCACTATCAGTTCTAATACAATAACAATTGGTTATGCTGAATCTTAAGTATAAGAATCTATGATTCAATTATCATTGGAAGACTTCACTGGTGATGTTGATCCTTTCAAGAAAGAGAATAATATAATTACACCACTCTTAGTGACTCTTATGAATACAACTGTTTAAGCAAAACCAATTCCTTTGTTTTCAAATGACTAAAATCCTTATATAATCGAATTGAGTAATGTTAGCCTTGTGTTAAATACATTGGATTCTTAATCTCAAAACAAAAAAACATAAGAATAACATTCCATTTTTCTTGCAAGATGTTAAAATTAATTTCTCATTGAAGGAAGTTACTGTGCTGATGATAAAACAATAGATGAGTATATATCTAAATTTCATGGGTTTTTATTCATAAAAATCAAATTAAGCTAATTAAATTCAATTACATAAGAATTAGAACAATTTAAAAAGTTGTATTATACAAATTTTGATGTTAAAAGACACAATACTCTCAAATAATTTTGAAATAGCAAAGTTCTATAATCGATAATGGTATTATATTTAATGATTATGAAAATTTTAATTTTGTAACCAACTATGAATTACTCACTTAAGAGATTGATAAAACATATGGAACTAATGTAATGAATTCAATGTCCAAATTTAATTATACATTTGATTGCTATGGGAGTTATTTATTTAGGATAGATAATATTTCAATTATTGAAGAAATAACCTATCGTAAATTGGGTTCTATTTTAGCATAAATTGGATCCATAATTTAATTAATATTTATGTTGAAATATGTAGTATTATACTATAATAATTAATTATCAGAAAATGAGTTACTAAGTGAAATAATTACAATGTACTATCCAGAATTTAAATAATATTCAGTGAATTTTTTAAATCAATTTTAATTTGATAAGTAGGACTAGTACTCAATAGAGAATCTGAAATTAAAATATTAGGTATTGCAAAAAGGTGCAAGAGAAAAGTGCCGGTTGACTAATTTGCTTTATGAAGTTTCAAGAATATAATTTATTCTTTAAGACAAATTTGGAGATTCAGTTCTATCATAAAGTCATAAAATGGGAGGCAAATTTTAATAACCTTAAGTAGAATAGCTAGTTTCTAAGGAATAAAATCGGCTTTAAATATAACCCATAGATTTAATTGATTTAGAAAACTAAAGTCATTCTCCAGAACCATTGGAAGTATTGATAAAATAAACCTGATACAATTATTAAATCCAAAAAATAAATATTTTCTAATCATTCATTCCTGTTTTTATGCGCGATTCTTTTTATCTGAATTTTTATATAAACACTACATAAATAACTATCATATGATATCATTTAATTGATTATGTAAATTAGTAATATGTTATAAATTGGAAATTAAAGGTTAGATTTCTAATTTGATCTTAGCGTAAAAATATCTTATTAATACCTTAGATATTTAGAAAAAATTTAATTTTAAAAACTAGATTATTAATTAAAATTACTTTTTTAAAAAATCTTCTATTTCTTCAGAAAAACTGTTAACCAATTTCACAAATGATTCTATCATTTCTTGTAAAAATTATGAATCATTATCAAATGAATTTAAAATATATTAGTTCTACATAGAAAAAATTTAATAAATGATCTCTCATTCATTCCTCTAAAGCAAGTTAGTTAATGAGCAGAAATTATACGTTCATTCAATCTGAATATGAGTAATCTTCTTAACAACTTCATATAAAATACCTAAACAATTACAATTAAAGAGTTCTTTATCATTAATTTTTGGTAATAAATTAGATTGAAAGATCACTAAACTAATTAAATATTTATTTCAAGATTATCGTGGGAAGGCCTTCAATTCTAGATTCTGTAAACCTTGAGATAATATAAATTAATATATATTCGATCTTATTAGTTGTATTTTTAAATGCCTCTTAAGACAATATTCATTCGAATTTGTCTATCTTCTAATATTTGTTTGGTGGATTTAGAATAATCTATAATTGTTTCTGGAAGAAATCTGATCCCATAGCTAAAATATTAAAATTAATTTTAACCAAAATCAAAAACCCCAACCCTTTTTATGTATTCTTTTTTCGTTATTCTACATAATTCTAAGTTTCCTAAACAGGTAAACATGAATAGATAAATATCTTATGAATCTTTCAATTTGTATCTTAGGCCTTCCCTTATATCCCATACTAATTATACTTTTCAAATTCAAATTTGAGCAATAAAGTACTCTTAAGTTTCCCTAATCATTATTCTTAATTCAATGATATTCAAGCTGTCTAAAGTATTTGATTTCCTATTAGATGAATTCTAACTTGTGATTTTTTCATGTCTATTTATAAATTGTTAACAATTTTTACTACTCTTGATGTATTTACAATTAATAATTAGTAGATTCGAACCCTATTCCATTTTTGTGAAAGGTAGTCGTTTTTAATGAAAAAATAAGTCTTTGATAATTAAATTTTATTCCCTCTGATTACAATCTATCTTTTCTTAGAATTTTGTACATCATATAAATTTGTTTATTACTCTGCTATCAAATTAAACCTGACAGCATGTATTATTGCATATTTTAGT